TACTCGTATAGATGTGCACTCTTTGGTATTACAGCTATGGACCACGTGTGGCTATATAAACTTAAATTGAAATTAAGGTAAAGTAAAAACTCAGTTCCTGAGTCACACAAGCCACATTTCAGTTGCTCAATAGCCACAACGGGCTAGGGGCTACCACCTTGAACAGTGCAAAGGTAGAACACGTCCATCATTGTAAAACACCCTATTGGGCAGTGCTGTGCTAGAGCTGCCTTCCAATAGATCGGGTCTTTGATGTTCACTGTAACTCTAAATCAGCTCTCTTTGGCACTTGACTTGGCTCTGGATAAGTCTATGTCCACCTGCACCTTCCACCAGTCACCTGTCGGTGTTGAGCCCTGGAAATATGGCTCGTCTGAAATGAAATGAGACTACACGAAAGTAAGTGCAAAATGCACATTGGATTTCAAAGCCCTAGCATGAATAGTGTTAAATAGGGATGGCTGGGATGGCTCAGGTGGTTAAGCAACTGCCTCAGCTCAGGTCATGATCCTGGAGTCCCAGGATTGAGTTCCGCATTGGGCTCCCTGCTCAATGGGGAGTCTGCTTCTCCCTCTGACCTCTCCCCTCTTATGCTCTCTCAAATAAATAAATAAAATCTTTTAAAAAGAGAGAATAAAATATGTCATTAATAATTTTATAGTGACTCTATGTTGAAATACTCTTTCATGTATTGGATCAAATAAAATGTATTATTGAAATTAATTTCACTTATCCCTTTTACCTTACTTCATTGCAATAAGAAAACGTTATTTGTAGTTCCCTGATGCCAAGTGACATGGAGCGTATTTTCATGTGTCTCTTGGCCATTTGCATGTCTTCTCTGGGAAAATGTCCCTTCATGTCTTCTGTCCATTTCTTGACTGGATCATTTGTTTTTTTTGGGTGTTGAGTTTGATAAGTTCTTTATAGATCTTGGATACTAGCCCTTTATCTGATATGTTATTTGCAAATATCTTCTCCCATCCTGTAGGTTGCCTTTTAGTTTTATTGACTGTTTCTTTTGCTGTGGAGAAGCTTTTTATCTTGATGAGATCCTAATAGTTCATTTTTGCTTTTGTTTCCCTTGCCTTTGGAGACGTGTCTAGCAAGAAGTGGCTACGGCCAAGGTCAGCTGAGGGTTACTGGAGCGGAGGTGGGTGGGGGGATGGGGTAATTGGGTAATGGACATTAAGGAGGGTAGATGATGTGATGAGTACTGGGTGTTATATACAACTAATAAATTCTTGAACAGTACACCTGAAACTAATGATGGCTAATTGAATTTAAATTTTAAAAAAGAAAATTTTAAATTACTTATATGGCTTGTGTTATATTTCCATGGGCCTCTAATAGACCTCTGCCCTATTGTGTGACTCAAGTGCTAGTTCCCTTTTTCTTTCTCTAAATCTATGCTGCCCAATACAGTAGCCATAAGCCACATGTGGATATTTAAATTGAAATGAATTAAAATTAAACAGAACTTAAAATTCAGTTCCTCGGTCACATTAGCCTCGGTGACATGCTCAGGAGACATCTGGAGTTAGTGGCTGTCATACTGCACAGTACAAATATGGACCATTTCCATCATCCTGGGAAGTTCTATCAGACAGAGCTGATGCAGGTTGTACGTAGTTGTGGCAAAAACCACAGAGGTGGGGTGTGAGTGCCTAAAGCTTGAGAAACATTTCTGGGGTTCCCAGCTCTGCGGCACACCCCCCTCCCATCTCCTGGGCACCTGTCCCTTCCCACCTCTGTTAGACTTGTTTATGCACACCTTATCTCTTCTTTCCTGCAAGGGCTATGGCATGCTTATCTCCCTCTGAACACACTTTCCTCCACCCTCCTGTATGTACGCCATGTCTAACACCATGCTTTGCACAATATAGGTTCTCAGTAAATATTTGTTAACCAGTTGGAGTGGCAGTTCCTAGCAAGTAATTGGAAATATGTGGCTGCAGCTGGAGGGAGATCAATAATGGCTGGTAGCGGGGGGAATAAAAAAAAAAATAGAAAAGTCAAGACCAGAAGGGAAGGGAACTGATAGAGGGACAGTGGTGATGGGGGATGTCATATGCATCACCCACAATCCCCTGACAGGCAGCTACAGAAGTTCCAGGGGAATTCACAGGCTTTAGGCAACAGCTATAGAAAAGGTGCGGAAGACACCCAAAATATGATTATGTAATAAATAAACATGCAAGACCCATGCATGGGAAGTTGAAATGGCATGAAAATTAAGGGTCTGGTGAGGAGAAAAATGAGCAGTGTTCTCTCCCTGGGCCAGCTGGTTTGAGTTACATTTTATGAGCAGCATGTGAATTCTAGCGCCCTTGTTGAATTAGCAGCCAAATCGCACATTACTTTTAAGGCTCCCTCTCGAATAGGAACATCATAACGTTTTTTAATTGGGGCTGATAAAAACGTAGCATTACTTGTAGGTTCCTGAGAGAAGTGAGTTGTGAAATTGGGTTTTCATTAAACCTAATGATGGGAAATTAAGTATAGTGCGTCTGGTGAAATGGGGTGTGATAAAAGGCATCACTTCTGCATTATCGGAGGTTAATAAGGGAATAGGTGAGGTAAGATACATTGGAAAAGGGAGTCCAACCTAGCTGAATTAATAAACCTTGAAAGCCCCTTGGTTCTGAGTCTTCATAGCATCATTAGCACCAGCGTTGACGTTATTACAAATGTTACAGCGATACAAGTTGTTAAATTTCAAATGCATTTGTTTTCCATTCCAGTGTTGGTTTTGCTGACACCAAGTTTACAGTCTGTCTAGCAATGTGTTTAGGGAAAATATTGGTTTGGGGAACATTTGGCATCCTACAAAATTTGCCAGGTGCCCATTCCGAAGATGCCTTTCTCTGCCAGGGAGCCAGACTCCTGGGCAATTCATACCCCAGGATCTTTGGGAGACCATGGGTCTCCAAGGACATCTGTCCCCATATGCGCTGGTGATTTAGGTGGGAGACACTCACAGGGCTCTGGGCACCAACTCCAGCTCTTGCTGTCCTGGGGATCGTGAAATACAGCGTTTAGAGAAGCAAGCTCAAGTGCCTCTTCTCCATCCCCAGGTCCACCATAGCATCACAGGAGTGATGGTCCCTGGAAGGAGGCCCCATACTTATGACAGCTGGGACACCTGCAAAAAATATATTTATATTATTTCTTTAAAGAGAGGAATTCTTAAAAGCCTTCAGCATCTTCCCAATGGCTTGGAAATTCTCACCCATTTACTGCCTCCTTGACCTACCTCTTATCATCTCTTACAGCTTTGCCCCCTCACATTTCCACCCACCACCTTTTCTCCATCCCAGCCTCCTTGCTCTTCCCTCGATGTGCTTGGCTTCTCCAGCTTCTGTTCTCCTGCTTCAGATGGTTCTTCTGGTCGGTCTGCTGTACCAGACAATCAAGTCTTGAGGGTGAAATCTGTGTGCTGTGCATTGCCAGTGCCTACCACAGTCCCTGGCACGTTGAGAGTGAGTTCCCAATAAATCTGACTCCTGATCCCACGGGTGTGGTGGAGAGGGGTAGCCACACCCATGTTTGTAAAGCTCTACATTTAAACAATGCGGGTAAAGATGTGCTACCTCTTTCCTACAATCCCAGAAGAAGTAAGCAGTATTTTTCTTCTGGGCAGTCAGGAAAGCTGTGCTAACATCCCACCTGGGCTCTTCTCCCCTGTACATAAACCTGTACACTCTAGCTCTTTTCGTTAGCAGTCCTTTCCTTGCTTGGAACAGTTTTGCTCTTGCTGTCACAAAGAAAATTTCCCTTTTACATACAGAATCAATGTCTGGGGGATTATTGTGACATGAGCAACAGACAAGCTAAAGGAAACATGAATTTTGAAAAGACGAGTTGCAGAAAGTCAGGAACATATGCTAAAGCCTCTGGAGTAAACATGGCATGGGCTCAGTGGGGTACTTTGTGGATCCTGAAAATATTTCATCAAATATGACAGTTCTCAACTTGTGCATGCCACACCAGGAGGGTCTAGGGTGTAGAATGTCTGTGTCTCTGGGAGGAGGTGGGAGAAACTAAGCCTAGATAGTTGTGAGAATGACGAACTAGCCCTGAAAGACCAGCAGTGTATGCTTGCCAGGGAGTCAGTAGGGCAAGGGTGTGGTTGTTCTGGTCCAAGGGGAACGGGGGAATTCACATCTAGCCCCAGGAGGCTAGTTTCCAGGGTGGCCAAGCTAGCAGAGGGTAGTTAGAACAGCCCAGTGGGCATGAAGATAATTATGAAGCAGAGTACAGATCTTGAGAAAGGAGTTGGGGCATAGGACCCAGGCCTGGGAGAAGTAGCTGGCAGGACTAAAGGAAGAAGTTTGGGCTTCCTTATCTGCCAAGAAGGTTCACTGAGACTCCTGGATCAAGAGTGTTAAATGACAGGGAAACTAGACCACAGGCAGAAGGTGATCACTGTTGCAGAGCCCACAGCTAGACAAAGCAGTTGAATGGGTCAGGAGGGTTCCTGCAATCAGTTGGGGGTCCAAGACTGGTTTCAGTTCCTCTCAAGGAGGGAGGCAAATGGACCAGGAGCAGACATGTGGCTCTGATCTCCAGACACCTGGGGCTCTTCTTGCTTGCAGGCAGGCACCAGAGATGATTTCCAGGCATCCTCATTTCCTAAAGAGCTTTCTGGCTTCTCACTTGTTCTGGGGTTGGCCATGATTAGCCAAGACCACACTTGTCAAGGACTAAGACAGACAGAGGACGATAAGCAACCTGGAATTTTGTCTCTGCTCCGCAATACGCACCCTTGGAATAGAAACAAACCAAGGGCTGTGTGTTCTTTGGTTGGTTTGTCTTTTTGATTTTCTAAATCAACCGCCACAGCCACAGCCACGCAAGGGAAGCAGCATGACTCTATTCTTCCTGCTACTTCATGATCACCTGTGTCCTGAATTAGTTTCCCCGCCCTGGGGGAAGCAGGGAGGACAGAGGACAAAACTCTCATAGGTGATGTGTGTTTTGCCTCCTTCTCTTTGAAGCAGATGGCAGCCGTGGGGAGCTGTCCCAGCCTACCCTCACGATCCAGACTCACCCCTACCGGGCTTGCGACCCCGTGGAGATGAGCTATCCCCGGGACCAGTTCCAGCCTGCCATCCGGGTGGCCGACCTGCTACAGCACATCACCCAGATGAAGAGAGGCCAGGGCTACGGGTTCAAGGAGGAATATGAGGTAAGAGACCAACCAGCGTGCAGAGGTTTTATGGGTGCTAAATCCTTGCTATTCAAGGTCTGGTCCCCAGATCAGCAGTGTCAGCATCACTTGGGGGCATGCTGGAGAGACACCACCTCAGTCCTCACCCAGACCTACTGAATCACTTTGCATTCATACCTTCCTGCCATAGGAAGACAGAATGGCTCAAGCTCCATCCCACCTGTTTAAAAAAAAAAAAAAAAAAAAAAAAAAAGCCAGTGATTTCTGGGAGACCTACTTGCTCATAGTCGCCTCTGGCCTTGTTATCTTGCTTTTGCTGTGTTCTCAACACCCATCCTACAGCCCCCACCAAGTCAGTATCACCTCTGGTGTCTGCTGTCTTCCCTCTCTCTGTACCTTCTCCTCACCCCTCCTCCCTCCCCAGAGCATCCCTAATGCAAAGGGCTTTGTGAGTAGCACTTGTTACTGAGGCTTGGGGAATAAGAGGTTTGCAGCAAAGTTCAGAAAATGCTTGAAAAGAAGTCCTCCTGAGGTTCTGGTCTCCTGACACAATGTCTGTCCAGTCCCTCCTAAAAGTCCTTTGTGGTATCCTCAAATTTTCCCTTTTTTTTTTTTCTTCATCCCAGCAACCTGGAAAAGAATTCCTACACTCCCCTCACTATTATGCAGAACAACTCAGCTTTCTCTGTCTCCCTCCTTTTGTTTGAGACCCGGTCCATTAGATCTCACCTTTTGCAAAGAATGAAATAAAATAGGAGGAAAAACTCATTAAGATGTTTTCCTGAACTAAAGAAGACCTCATGCCCCTGGAGGAATTTTGCAAGCCTCCTCCTGAAGCCAGCTCTGAAAACAAGCCTTTCTTTCTTTGATTCTCCTTTTCCTCTCTCTCTCTCCCTCTCCTCCTTCCTTCCCAAAATATCTTTCCAGCATCTACTGTACACCAGGCTCCAAGTTATATGTACTAGTTTTTTGTGGGTGTTTTTTCTTTCACATGCAGCATGTGCCCCAAATATGCTTGCTTGAGTTACACTGTGTGCAGTGGGAACGCATTGACTCAGACTCTACACATTTGGAATTCTTGATAATGCAGGCTAAGTTTATCTCTCAGACTATATTCTGAGAAAGAGCTTACCAAGCAGTATTTCACAAGCTGTGTGAGGTCTTGTGCTAAACTGGGGGTCCAGACAGCCAGATTCCAACACAATAAACTGTGTGATATTAGCATATCATTTTGCTACCTGCATTTTAAGATTCTTTATTAGTTGAATGGAGAGTTTGGATAAGGTGATTTCTAAGGGACCTGTCGGTCCTAAAACTTTATGAGCGTATAAAACATGGTGGCAGGGGGCATATTTGACACATTTATGAGAACAAAAACGTTTATGTCGATGGGTGTGAGTAATGACCAGCTCAAGAGAACGTACATTTAATTTCAAATATGGTCCAAGTTAAAGAGCCTTTTTCATAGGCTCCGTCTACAAATTTTGGAGGAGAAATTGGGATAATAGTTGGAGGAGATGATCTCATCACCTTCCATCCCTGGGCCATATTTCCTAGGGGTTTTGTTGAATAGTCCCAGCCCCTGAAAGTGTTACACGCATGTTCTTATGCACACCTATGTAGATCTGCTTGGCGAGTGAATGTCAGGAGAAGGTGTACTGTTGGCAAGGCACTTTTAGTGTCATGGTGGTCCAGTAAGTCATTAGTCCTACTATTTCATTTGTTTTAAGGTTTGCATAGCATTAAGGGAGACAGATGACTTATCAGAAAGAGGAACAAATAGTCAAAGACCAAGAAACACTATTCTAGAACCTGCGTTCTAACATTTGAAAACAAAAATACAAATACATTTGACTTCTTTAGTGCATTTCTTTCCAGAATGATATCTTTTTTTTTTTTTTTTTTTTTTTTTTTTTACAAGTATCCATCCCTGTGTGATAGGATTTGGGTTGATCTTTAAAATTTATTTTTGTGCCTTTTTGCATTTTCCAAACTTTCTGGCATGGAAACAGTCTACTTTTATAGTGAGAGAGAAAACAGTGCCTGTTGTTCCATCATTTAGTCCCCAGATGGAAACATCGCTAACTAGACTAACCTTGCATTCAATCTGTTCAGATTATATTAATCAGTTAACTGGGATGTTTAGCTTCTAGTTAACACATTTTCTGATTAACTGGAGATGAATTGGGAAGTGTTACTTTATGGAAAGCTTTCCCTGGTGTGCCTGTCCCCTTTCCTAGATTCTAGCTGGATATTGCTTTGATCCTCAAAGCTCCCATGATGTCTGGAATCTATGTAAGGGGTATATGAGTCACAGGTCTGCTTGAAGACTGTGCTCCTTTGTAGACATAAGGTTCCTCGGCCTCCAATCCTACTGTCAAACCAACATGCTATGTGCTCTTTCTTGCCTGTCTTCCTGCTCAGGTTTTGTTTTGTTTTGTTTTGTTTTGTTTTGTTTTTCCATACAAATGAGTGGGCTTGACAAGTTGACATGCAAGTTGACCTCTCGGGGGTACTTGGCTGGCTCAGTCAGTTAAGTGTCTGACTCTTGATTTCTGCTCAGGGGTCAGGGGTCGTGGGATCGAGCCAGTGAGGAGTGGGTCAAGTGTGGAGTAGGTCACTGTGCTCAGTGAGGAGTCTGGTCAAGATTCTCTCTCTCCCTCTGTCCCTGCTCCCACTCATGCTCACTCGTGCACTCTCTCTGTCTCTCAAATAAGTAAATCTTAAAAAAAAAAAAAAATAAGGTGTCTGAAATCTTGACAGGGAAGGCTCTAGGGCTAGGGCTGAAATAATGAGAGAGTGTCTTTACTTTCATATCTAGTGATTGCTGCAGGCTGTATGCTGGGATCTCAGTAGGATTGCTGGCTGGAGCAGGCCTGGGCTTCCTCATAGCATGGTAACCTCAGGATGTTGGACTTTTTACATGGTAGCTCATAGCTTCAAAGGTGAGCCTCTTAGTGACCGAAGTAGAAAGTACATCATCCCTTGTGACCTAGACTTGGAGGTCATAAAGAATCACTACCACCTCATTGTATTGGTCATAAGCAAGTAATAATGGCCTCTATTCTAGGGAAGTGGAATTATACACCTTCTCTTGAATGGACAGAGAGAAAGTTGCCGAAAAGGAGATATTAGCAAATACAGTCTTTGGATGATACAGCCTCCCACACATACCATGGAAAAGGAAAGAGTAGAGCAAAGGAGGGAGATGGTCTATTCCAGGGACAGAAAGTGAGTGGGGTTCCAATATTAAATAGGGTAGAAAGTCATCCTTAATTAAAAGATAAGCTTTGAGCAGAGACATGGAGGAAGAAATCTAGGGGAAGAAAGTTCCAGATCAGTGTAGTACAAGGAGGCCAAGGGTAGACTACAGATATGAGTAGAGTAATAGAAGATGTTATTGGAGAAATAAAGGGGGATCTGACCATGTAGTGCCTTATAAGACTTTGCAAGGACTTTGGCTTTTACTCTGAATGAAATGGAAAGCTACTGCGGAAATTTGAGAAGACAAATTACCATCTGACATTATTTTGAAATGCTCTTCCTAGCTACTGTGTTGAGAAGAGACATAGGAAGGCAACAGTAAAATCAGGGAGACCAGTCATGAGGCCATGGCAGTAACCCAGGTGAGAGACAAAGGTGAGGCAGTGGAGGTGGTGAGAAATGGTTGGATTCTGGATATATGTTGTAGATAGAACCAACAGGATTTCCTAATACATTGGCATGGCGTGTGAAAGACAGAGAGGAACCAAGAGTGGCTCCAGGGCTGTTATCTGAGCCACTGGAAGGATGGGGTTGTCACTAATGGAGATGGGGAAGCCACAGAGAGAAGAGACTTGGGGTCAATGGAACAACTGGGAGTTCAATTTTGAACTGAGTTTGAGATGTCTATTAGACCTGAGAGTGGAGATGGATAGTAGGTGCTTGGATATATATTAGTATGGAATTTGGGAAAGAAGCCTGAGTTGGGGAGAAAACTATAGGACTTACTGTCATATAGATAACATTAAAGCCATAAGACTGTTCAAAGTCAGGAAGCAAGTGAGCACCGACAGAGATGATAACCAAGGACTGAGTCTTGTGGAATTTCAGCTCAATGTGTAAGTGCTCTCCATAGACTAGACATTGTACTAGGGTCTAGGAACTGGGAAGAGATAGAGCGCTTGCCTTCTGGGAGAATTTGAGCCTATTCTTAGACACAGGCATATAAACTGATCACTTTAATATCTTGGCAAAATGTCATAGTAGAGTGCTATGGGAACCCTTGGGTGGTGGCATGCATTCAGCCTAGCCTGGGGATGGGTGGCCACTGGCTCTCCAGAAGACATAAAGCCTAAACCAAAGCTTGAGAAATAGGAATATTCAGATGAAAGCAAGGAAGGGTGTTCTGGGCAGAGGGACTAGACCAGGTATGGTGTGGAGATATGCATGGCAGGTTGAGTGAAGAGAACCAGAAGAAGCAGAAGCAGTTTGGTACACAAACTATGTTTGGTGCACGAAGCATGGAGGGAGAGAGGGCTGGAATTATCAGAAGGAGTGGGCTGGGGTAGGGAAGCAATGCGACACTTGTCAGGCTAAGGAGTTTGGATTCTATTCTAGGGGTCATGCAGAACCATGGAAGGGAGCAGCATTTTTTTTTTTAAGTTGAATTAGCCTTTTAGATATAATTGTTTGGCATAGATCAGAGCAGGGAGACCAGGGGCAGGTAGGCGGGTAGGCGGCTGGGACACTAATTGAAGGAAAAGATGGAATTGCTCAAACCAGGAGACTGGGCCCAAAGCCCAGACAAGCCCACACACATTTTCTCATGTAGAGACATAAAATCAGCTCGTGCTCTTAGGCGTGTAAACTTGAGTCTCTCAATATATATATTTTAAGTTCAGTGACTTGAATTCACGTATGAATCGTTCTGAGTGTATCGTCAAAATGCCTGGATTCAAGTCCTGTCTCTTTGATTAAGTATCTGGGTGACCTTGGGCGGTCATTCTCCTTTCTTGGCCTCCATTTCCATATTTATG